CCCCAAAACCCCAAAACCCCAAAACCCCTGATTTTTAATCAAAATTGCGGTCAGAATAACTTAATTTTTTATAAATAGAACATAAATTAACGATACATATATGAAACTGCTATAATAAGCTTAGTTTTGTGAATTGTTCATCAATCTAATCCTATCCTTAAAAAATATTTATTCATTATGGGTGAAACACTATGTCCCCTATAATATCTGCATCTATTTTTCATTAGCATTCCCAATTCTTTGAAAATCTTGCATGTGAAGATGACGATCTAAGGCATGGTTAATATAAAGAAAATCACTGGAATACCAACATAAAGTAATAGAAAGGCAAATATTGTGATGATTACTCCCCACCAGGTTTTAAACTTTTGCTTATTAATGCTGCAACAAGTTTAAATCATAATGAGCAGGTAGACTGGTGTCAAGGCTACATTAACTAGTAATAACAAAGGCAATCCTAGAATTAAAAGCAGTAAAAGTTAGCAAAGCCAGAACGTAAATCCATGCCTCGTACCTAGATTATACCAGCCCCAAGTATCCGTATCATTATTATTGAGTCCTTAAAACTCCAAGATCTCTAGATAAAATTGATAGTTTGAACATTCAGGTGTGTGAACGGGGAAATCTTCTTTGCAAGTCCAGCACCATTCATGCTTACATATTTTACATATCATATTAGGACATCCTCCTTCTTTTTCAATCTTAATTCCACAATTTTTGCATAATCCAACATCATTACCAGTCATAGTAGCCCATTCTTCATAATCCTTAGCTATCTTTTATTCACAAGTTTCACTTGGATGAGGTGTATGCAAGCAATTAAAGCAATAGCACTTTTTGCAAGTATCACAAATCACTTAAGTTTCAGAAGATATATGTGGTTTCTCAAGGTAGCCTTCACAATCAGGAGTTGGACAGCCTTTCATTCTAGGATTTCTATGAATTTCTTATCTGTTAGAAAACTTGAAATACTTAGAATAGGTATCATCATCCATCACATGTTTCTGCAAATATTTTAAATTAATTTCGATTTGGCAATCACTATGAGGACAAATTAATTTCTTTATCTGTCCATTATTGACTTGGAAATTAACAAACTCCTTGAGACAGGTCAAACAATAAGCATGCTAGCATCTCAATAAGACTAGTTCCTCATCTTCTATATTCATGTAACAGATTCCACAAGTGAATGAATCTGGAAATGCTTCATTTTCTCTTATAGGATTGAAATTCATGCCTTATCTTTCACTATGAGTCTGCTTCTCTTCACTGCAAAGTATACAAACCTTTTGAGAGAACAAACCTTAAGATTATGTAATAAAGGGATGAGTCCAACCGTTGGCATCGAAAGTCAAGTAGTCAACAGCCTCTTCTAATGACTGTGCGTAAGGGTAGTTTTAAATTAATACCAAAATTTGATTCTCATCATAGCCTAATGCGAGCAATTGCCTAGATATATACCCTTGATAGCCTCTTAGATTATTAAGCTTCTCCTTATATTTATGCTAACCTACATCATCTCTGCTGTTGTTTTTAAAAATCATAGGAATTTTCCTCGACTAAGCTTCTTCATCATTTATATCTTCTTCGATTATCTCATAATTCATTGTGTCATCTATCTTTGAATCACTGTTCTAGTGAGCTTGAAGCAGTGACTTCTCAACAAGTTTCTTATCCGAGCCTCTTGAATCATTAGACTTTAATACTTTAGGTAGATTTATTAAGTCTTGATAATTGTCATCACTGGCACATGATTTTTCAAGCATCTATTTATTGATTTCAATATTGGGCAGAATCTGTATATTCATCTTCTGCTATGAACCATTCTGAGTGATGTTGCCAGTTTATTCTATATCGCTTTTGTAAAAAATCTGCTAAATACGTTGTCTTTCAGTGGCTATTTATGGCTCATTTATGATACCCGGTGAGGGTTCATCCTCTATAAGTGAGCTTCTGAGGCTGATTTCATCATCATCATTCATTTTATCTAAGTTAATATATTATTAATTCAATATTTTTATCAGATTTTTATCGAATCTATAATCACCACGGGGTTTTGGGGTTTTGGGGTTTTGGGG